CTTGTGACTAGAAGTGGTGTCGTTGGACCACCTATCGACACACCGCTCCATTCCATTGTTAGACCACGTGAATTTCATGTTTTGGGTGGGGTGGCGAAGGTGGGGCCAGCTGCTTGCATTGTAGCTGACCCAGGGACTTCCCCCTCGCGTGCTGTTTGCAACACGTGGCTCCGCCCCTTCCCTCGTGTCCCCTTCGCGGCAGCTGGGCCTCCGCCCTAGTCTCCCAAGAGGGCAGGCAGCAAGCACAAAATTTCAACGTGGTTTGGCGAAGGTATATTAGCGTTATTATCATTGCAGGGATATAGACAGTGAAGGAACCATTTCTTCTTAAATCGAACCGTCAATCCATAGGCAGCCTCGTATTAGTACTGAACGGGTTGCAAATAACGTATTAAACCGACAAATTGTTTATTGCTAAATTCCAAAATAAAATATTTTCTGACATTGATTTTTCGATATTATTTCTGCAAAGTTAAGTGCTTTTTTTAGATTTGTGTACTTATAACCAATGTTTTGCTTACAAATGTTCAGGAAAGGATAGTTGGAGACGAATGTTCGATATTTAGAATGAATTGATAACTGGCAGTAAAAGCCTGAAAGGCAAGCGGATGGGCAATCGGGACTGAAGCTGGCTGGTCATTCAAGAGGGGAAAGAATGTGGGCACCTCAGCCACTGGGCTGTAGACGCGTTTCTCGTGTCTGGCGCTGTGCCGTGGGTAGGGGGACTGGGTACCTCGCCGCCCGTCCCCTTCTCCGAGCTGTGGCCGTGGCAGCGTGGCGTTGCGCGGCACGTGGCGGCGACTGTGGGAGGGGGGCGCGGCGTGTGCACGTGGTGGGGATAGGGCCTCTCCCTCTCCTCCCTTCTCCTCCCTTCTCTTCTCAATCGCGCGCACTTTCCCGTGTTTACCTGTGGACGGGGAAAGTGAAGTAATCCTGTAAAGTAATTGGAAAACTCAAGGCGCCGGGATCCTCAGAGAGGTGCGAGTGGCGAACGAGCATCTTCCGGGTGAACAAATACCAACGCTAGCTTTCGATCGCTCTGCCTTTGTGCTTGTGAATATATATATATATATATATATATATATATAATAATATATATACTACTATATATATAATATAAATTTTCGTTATTAGCAGGGGGGTAGAATACTCACTCTCTTAACTCACACGAGCTGCTTTAGTTCTTTCCTATGCGGCTGAAGGTTACTTTACAAATTACTGTGATAACACTGCGTTGTTTTAATGCTAAGCAGAATATGAAATAAAATTTGGATTTTTTTCCTTCCCTATTTTGTAGTTTTTCATTTGAATATTTGGAGAATTGCAAGCGACCGAATACCTCAGACATTACCAAGAACGAAGGATCTGATGAAAGCCAATTCCAGTTTTCCACTGAATGTGCCCCGCCCCTCCTGTGCCGTGTCTTGCCGGGGCCCCACACAGTCGCGAGAGAGCGGAAGAGAGAACGCATATCCCCCGAAGATCGTCTCCGCCAACCCGTTCGCCCGCGGCCAGGCCTGCGAAGCCCAGACGGGCTGCCAGATCCGCGACGCCGCGCGGGTGCCGTTACGCGGGCCGTCTGGCGCTCCGCACCCATGGTCAGGGACGAGGTCAGCCAGGCTGTGCCCATGGGCGTTGCCTCGCCTAGGTTGTTTTTTACGAGCCGGCCGTAGGGAGAGCATTTCATTGGAAATGTCCGTGTGGTAGTCGCAACAGGGTCTCAGGATATGTGAGTAATATTTAGATGGAATTCAGTTTTTGGTATTCGGTTACCAAAATTCCTGGTTATTTTTATTGCATTTTTACAGATCTTTGCTTCAATAATATAAGTATAATAAGTAATAATAATAAAGTAATAAGTTTGAATAATCTGTTATGGTGTTAATTTGTCATTTGAAGGGGGAATATGAGTGGGAAAAGGTATTGTTCTATTTGTATAAATGGGGCGGACTTGTGTTTTTATTAGAATTGTTCATGAAAATGTATTAGGATTTTCTTTCCAATTTTGTTTGTTCTCTTCTACTTTGATTGGAAATATTGTCTGTTGGAAAATATTTTCATTTGAAGGGGTACTTTTTTATAATTTACAAACCGTTACTTTTTAAAAGATCTGTAAATCCAATTACCCTCGTGAGTGCGCATTCCTTTATACATCTAATTGAAACCTCGCTTAATACTAGAATAACACAGAACTGCCTGTGGTATCTTAAATAAGTAATGTTCTGTTTAAGAAGTAGTCGAATTTTGATGACGTTCTAAGTGCAAACGGCAGTGATAACAGACGCGAAAGTAAACAAACCGCTTTCTTCGAGACAAAGCACCGCTGAACTTTTCCCTTGAGAGTTGAGATAGATTTCCTACGAAGTCTCTGGATAAAATTGTTCAGCAATGGGCATTTTGTGACTGTCTGTACATCCGAAACTGCTCAAACCTATATAAAACGTCCGATAATCGTAAAATATATTATTTAGGTTGTAATATCTGTTTATAAGTCTTTTATTTATTTCTTTCATTAAATGACATCTTAGATTTGTGTGTATCAGGTGCAAATCTAAATAATAGTGACTATATTATTAAAATTATGTAGAATTTAATTTCCACAAAATTTGTATTATTTATAGTTGCGCCTGATGAAGCAGACAAACACGTCCGAGAAACGTTTTGTCATTTAGTAAAAAAGATTTTGAAGTGTCTGTCTATAATAAATATATTATAAATTACATTTGACTGGTGGTCACAAATATAGCCTAAAGTATATTACATTCTAGAAGTCTCGCATCTTTAAAAATCTCTTATTCAATTGAAATAGATCCATTAATTGGTAGAGTGCCGTGTATACATTATCTTGCAGTTGTTTACTTTGAGGACTTGGTAAGGGTCGTACCATTTCTGCCCGTCATCTTCGGACGTAAACGGCTTAGCGGAGAGGTCGTCGGATTTCTCTGCGGATGTTTCCATGCGGAGATAAGCTATCGGTTGGGGGTAATGAAGTCTGACATTAGGTTAATTTGTGTCATAAGCTACTTTTTTGAAAAGAGATTAGTGTAATTTTTCCAATGCAAGTAGGCTACATAATATTCAACTGTTAGCTTGTTGGTATTCGTAAATACTGAGTCACTCTGCCTCCCTTATCAGCGCGTGTTCTGATTTCTCTTAAAAATAATTATTGCAGTGGACATTTTTTGCATTATTATTCTTGGCGACATTCGAAGACGTTTATCTCGAATGTCCCCTTATCAAAGAAACGCCTTTCATAGTCTACTAAGTAATAAGCGTGAAGGCAAGGAGGGGCAAGGACGCGGTCAAGTGGCTGGCCCTGTTCACGCTTTCGCTTTCACTCGGTGTAAGACCTGCTGTGGCGGGGGCAGCATCTAACGCGAAGTGACGGGGCATGACGCCACAGAGTAGAGATGTATTTTGTTTTCGCTGCAAGGCTTGGCATTCTATTCGACCCCGCCTCCGTCACTGTCTCACGGTGGGTCCGAACGCCCCCAGACATTGTTCGATCAGTGTCGTATGTTTCATGTTAATAAAACATATTTTGAAGCTTTCGCTATATGTATATATATATTCGTAGGGGAAAATGTGAATGTTCATGTAACAAAATATTCCTCTTGCAGTGAGCGTGATATTAAAGCACTTTTCATTCCATCTATTTTGGTTTGAATGTAGCATAATTAAAATTTGCAGTTTGTCTTTGTTATATCGCTTAAAACAGGAAATGCACAATTAAATTTTAAGAGTTTTGTCTGAAAACGATTGGCTTCGTTCTTGAAGTATATAATTTGGTCGTGCGATGTGAGTTGGGCCCAGTGTTGTTGGGTTGGCGCCGTGCGTGGCGTCGTCTGCCAGGCCGGGGCGTTGGCCGCGCGTGGAGAGGGGGGGCGTGGCGGGGCGGGGGCGGCGCGCCGCTGGCGATTGGCGCCCGCCGCCGGAGCAATCGCCTTGGTTGGAGCGTCGCGGCTGTGCTCGCGTTTGAAACGCGCGACCGTTGCCGCCCCGATGCCCGCCTTGCGGCGTCCTCTTCGCAACGGCCCCCTCGCCTCATTGGATAAATATCAACTCGTTGGTATTACTCGCGGCAGCCCAAACATGCTTGAAATTGTGTGGTGTGCAAAGTAGTGAGCGAATTTTTGCTAGCTTTCTGAAATGTTTAAAATGTTCCGTAATGCAGTTAAGATACCATTTTGTATATAACACTGAATAAGGCAATTTCGTAGAAATTAAAGCGGAAGTATATATAATGATTCATGCGCTCAAATTTTCAACAAGCGGGCTTTGTTTTATAACAAAGGGTCTTTAACCCTCATTCCCTCTCCTTGTGAGCGACACTGGAGATGTTTGAAAATAGAATGACAACGTTAATTACGTTTGCGTTGGTAAACATCTGTCTCCTATTTCATTGTGCTTAACGCCGCCTGTTCACCACGTCAACCACCAACCACCTGCCCTGAACAGACGCCTTGTTGAAACGGGCAGGCCCCCGGAGCGCCCGTGTCCTCTCGCCAACAGGTGGGCGAGGCTCCGTGCCGAGACGGGCGGTGGTGGCGTCCTCTCCTGGGGGCACACCACAGTGGAATTTCAAATTACGTTGGTAACACCTGATATTCATCCTTTGTCGCGTGCCGTAGATTTCGAATTGAATTTTTGAAGGGAAACGTATACAATTTATATTGTACCAGTGCATGTAATCGGTGGAAAGTGTTGGTCGATTCTATTTAATTTTATAGGAAGGTATGTTTAATTGAACGTCGCCGACAGTTCGTGGGGTTTGTGATTGTATCGTATTGGAGGTTTCCCTTTTGCGAGGTTGTGGGTCGACTGGGGGCGGTGGCTGTGGCCGTGGCAGTGACCACGTGCTCGGGCGCTGCGCGGCCCGTGCGCTGTTAGTGGGTCACCTGCGTCGCCCCGCGCTCCCGGCCCCCTCCCCCGGCCGCGGCGCGCCTCCATGGCGCGGGGGCTCGCCCGCACGTAGCGCCCCCCTCCCCTGCGTGAGCCCGCCTCCGCTCTTTCGCTACGAATAGCTAAGAGCGGGCGGCAGACGTCGGTCTGCAGGTGGGAAAGTGAAAACGGGGTGTGCTCGGTCATTTGGACGCCTCTGGTTTTTGCGGAAGATGCATTCTCTGAACCTTCCAGATGCGCCAACCGCAGAAGCTGCTTAACGCTGCAGCAGTGGCGGAGCACGCAAACATTCCCCAGCATCTAGCGGAAGCCTCCAATCCCAGTGGGAATGAAAACTAAACGTCAACTCAGAAAACACAGACTACTAGGTTAATATCATTAAACCGAATGATTTATCACAGTAGTACGAATCGGTTTATTTCAAAGCGTGCGTCTTTGTTACTGATTTACTAACTGTATGACAGTGGGGAAGAAAGATAAAAATGTTATATAATTTAGGGAGGTGGTTGACGCGTGTGTAGAGCCAAACCTTTTTACGGCAGATACGTGGAATACTTTTATATCCCGGTAGATACTTTTTATATCCCCTTGGAAGGGACAAAGGTGCTTTGCGTAACGCAATCCGCAATACATGTAGACCGTACTGATTGCGGGGCGAGGCAGGGCAAGGGGCTGCCCACGGGTGACGAGAAAGAATGTACGGGGGTTGCCTTTTATATTCCAGGATTAGATAACGAAAACATAAAATTTCGTATAATATTAATATATATTGCCGACCACTTTTCACTATAATAGAATTAGTTCCATTTATTAACTAGTACATAGTAACAAATTATTGTGTTGCATACTCCGGCATCGCAATTACAATATACTTTAGGTAGTTCTATATAAATGGCGGTTGGAAGACATGGTTATTGGTAAGATTTAACGAATTGAAACCTCTTTCTGGCTGAGTGGCTATTGCTTTGGCTATTCCATTGATGCTGCGTTTCTTATATAAATAACTTGCGTGATAGCAAAGGAAAAATTATCCTCACCTTGGGTCGATGACCTCATCCGTGAGAACAACGCTGTGGGCGCGTGTGTTTGTTTACAAACTAAAGATGATGAGCGTGTAGGAGACACGTGGGCAGCGCTCGGCACAGGCACTTCCCCTACCTCCCACCCCGCGCGACACGCGTGGTGACACGCCTGCCGCTAGCCCGTGCGCCGCAGGGCGTTATCAGTCGCGTTGCCTGCGGGGAGAGGGGCGACAGCCCGCGCGAATGACGTCGCTGCAAGGTGCACGCGCTGGGGGCCCGCCGGTGGTGGGGCTTATCGCCTGGAATGAGAAGGAAGCTGCAGCGGCGGCAGGGAACGACGCCGGCTCGGTTGCGTAAGCGCCCCCTGCCCCCGCCGGAGTGCCGCAGTCGGGTTATGAATGGAGTCGGAGGCTGCGTCGTCGGCGTTTCGCGTTGCACTCGCCCGCCCCCGCGCGTTCGATCGGCGCGTAGCCGGCTCGGCGGGTGCGTACGTGCGCGCCTGCATGGCCGTGGTGGCCGCGCCGCAGCGCTCGCGCGCCGCGGCGAGCCCGGCCGGCCGAGCTGCGTCGGCGAGCCTCCGCCTACCCGCCACGCGCTTCGCAGCAGGGGCAAGGGGGTGGATATCCCTCCGATCATCTGGCGACGAGCGCTGCGAGAGAGGCTCGTTGCCGAATTTTCCGCGCCGCCAGATCGTCGCTCGCCAAGGCCGAGCGTGGCGTTGACTCGAGAGGGTCAATGAATCCCGGCGGCGGCAACGTCGCGCGCTCCGCCGCCGCACCGCCGCCGCGCCACGGCGTCGTGTCAACAAAAGCACCCAAACATAACGGGGCGCGGGCGCAGGCGGTAGAGGCGCTCTGGCCGGCGATTCGGTGCGTCCGCTCGTCCGTCGGCGCGTGTGCGAGCGAGGCAACGCTCAGGGAGGGAGGGAGACGGAGAGACCGAAGCGAGGCGAGCGGCGTCGAGCGCAAGAGCACCGCCTCCGGCCCCGTGCCGTGCTGTGCCGTGCCGTGCCGAGCTGTGCGCTGCGCGTGCCGCATCCATGTTTCGGCGACCATGTCGGCGCGTGCACGAGCAGTGTCGTCGTTATTGTTGCATCGGAGCGTGCGGCGAGCCGCCGCAATTAACCGGAGCCGCGCCCGCGGCGCGCGCCGCTGTTTGTAGGTCCCCGTGGCGACGCCGGGATCTCTGTGAGGACAGCCCGCCGCTTCATCATGTTTAGCTTCCACAAGCCCAAGGTGTACCGCTCGTCCACCGGCTGCTGCATCTGCAGGGCGAAGTCGAGCAGGTGAGTACCCGATGGCGTCGACGATGACGCAGTTGCGGAACCGCGGGGGAAGTGGGCGCTGAGACGATACTCGGCGGGGCGACATGACGCAATCCACGGCGAGAGGGAGGGTGCGTCGGTGGCAGTGTACGCCCGCGGGCACACGTCGCTCCCAATGGAGTGACAGCTGCGGGAAAGCGACGAGACACTTTGTCCCGAGAAACCCTTACCCGCCCCGTTTATCGCCCCCCCCCCATCTCCTAATGGAGTTCAATGTGTGATAAGAGCACACATCCCTTGTCCACGGGCGTCTCTGGCGGGGATCGATTCCTCTTTCCAACATTGTCAAAACCATTCACGGTTGTTTTCTAATTTATTTTTTTAAAACTAAAGTCACCTTAATGTGATGTCACGAAAGCGTGGTGTAATCGAAAACGTTTCACGATTCATTAGTAAAAAGTGGGCAAGGAATTTTCTGAAGATGCTCACGATCAGTCCACTCTTACAAGCCCGTGATTTGGTCGTTCAAGAAAAAAAGATCAGCATAAGCATACTCGTTCCAGCCACTACTCCTGAAACCGCTGGTGTCATCTCCCTTTCGTAGTTTCTTTAGTTCATATGCGTAAATTACTGAATTTATCTCTGTCAGAAAAATTAATTAATATCTTTCACCTTTAATTTCAATAAATCATTGAAAAATGACTGCATCAAAGGCTGCATAAACCTCAGCATAATTTGATCACACACACACGTGACTTTCCAGAGATGCCCTTGTCCTTGTGAATTTTTTAATTTTTTATTGCTTTACCCCTATACATTGCAGCAACAATAATATTTGCTGATATATCAAAATTGTTCCAAAGAAATGCAATTGAGAAATTATGGGAACAGAATTTCATCATTATTGAATATAATATTATAATCTTTAACCATTAATAATACTTTTTATACTTTACTTTGATGATACAAGAAATAAACATGTTCTGAAATATTGGAAGACATATTGGTAATTATAGTCAGAAGGGATTTTGTTTTTCAACCCTTTCCTCCCTTGTTACAATTGCCAGGTGACATTTTTAATGTTACCTTGTTGTTTTTCAGTTCAAGGTTCACGGATAGCAAAAAATATGAGGACGATTTCATGGACTGCTTCCAACTCCATGAGCGTCGGTCTGGAGAAATATGCAATGCGTGTGTCTTGTTGGTTAAGAGATGGAAGAAACTGCCACCTGGCAGTGAACGCAACTGGCATCATGTGAGTGTGCTGAACATGTTTTGGCGATAGAAAATAGTAATTTTAACTTACTTTTTTAATATTTTTGGGGGGTGGTTGACTTTTCACTCTTGACACGTTGCTTTCATCATCAGGTTGTGGATGCTCGTGCTGGGCCAGGAACGAAGTCGCTCACTAAATTCAAATCAAAAAATAAAAAGAAGCTGAAATTGAAACCAACAGATCCAATTCAAAAAGTAGAGAAACTGATAAAGAAGAAGCACATATATCTTAAAAATGATCGTAATGGGCGTGAGCAGAGTCCTGGAGAGAATAGCGATGATATGGCTGGTAGGTTTTAAATATTGCAATACATGTAATTATTAAAGTTCAGTTAATAGTATTTTGCTTTGGCATTAACTCTCATTTTACATTTTCAGGAGATGATTTTATGTCTGATATGGGAGGCCACAGTATTCCATCAAGTCCTAATCCTAGTGAATATATTGCTCCCCGTACTGCTGCTGTGAAACAGAGAGTTAAAGCACGATCTCCCCATCGCCATGAGAAAGGTACCAAGAGGCGAATGTCACTCTCACCAGCTGTTAGCAGCTTCTTGGACATGAGTTACTGGAAAAGGTTAGTACTAAAAAGAAGAGGTTATTTTATGCAAATGCCATGATAAAAGATGAGTTTCTGCTTCTGCCAATGAAATGGTTTCTTGCAACTTTTTGATTTAGTTTGTTAAAACTTTAGTTGGGCTTGGTGTACTGCTTTTGTTGCATCTCTATTTCTGAAGACTGTTGAGCACTTCATCAAACTTGTGCAATAATTTGCCCAATCAAATGGCTCTTGAGTGTCTGCTATACTGGTGCTATTTGCCACCTAGATTATTTACTGAATTACCTACCCTGATTTAATACCCTATCTTCATTTGATACTTGCATTAATTTTGACATCCCTGAACTTTGAGGTAAACAAAAAATTTATTAAAAATTGTCTGAATTCCATGTAGAGTTTTGAAGTTTTCAAATTTCCTTGCAAATATATTTTTGTATTAATTTTAACATTCATTCCTAGTTTGAAGTTACAATTATCACTAATTGTGAGAAGGTTTATTTTTCATATACCCTCTTTCTCCTGTCATTTCCTTTTGTACTATTGGAGGGAAACTAAAAGCTAATGTATGTTTTCAGTATAGTCATTTGACTTGGTTAAAGTATCCTCAATATTTGCTCAATTATCCACATTTCAAATGCTTCCAGTTCTTGGTCTCAAACCCAAATGAAAGGATAAAATTACATTGTGATTTTTTGATTACCATTTCTATATCTATTTGAAAGACTAAAGTTCTGGCTACACAAGCATTTCTGTGTTTTATTAAATATTTACATTGCTATTGTGGTTCCTGTTATTTTCATAAATAGTTCTAAATATTAGGTAATAAATGTATGCTGTTTTGTGGAAAGTTCAAAGGATTCAAGATATAAGTTGGAGGTTTTGTTCTTGTCAGTTGATTCAGAATTATGGTTAACATTAATTTTTTAAACTTGTATTAATACAACTGCAACCAATTGTATCAGAATGTAACAATTTCAAAAATACTTTGATTATTTAATTATCATTTGGATTTTTCATTGTAACTTAGCTTCCAAAAATTTGAATTTAGGTCAAATTTCCCCTGTGTATCTTCTGTATAAGTGGCAACTCGCTTGACAGGGGCAAGGGACATGGAATTGGTTACTTACTGGAAAATCAGAATTTTATGTATCATTAACTTAAAAATGTAAAGTAAAAAATTGATCTAGTTAAGGTGGTGGATTTCATAAAATATGGTTTAGGTTTCTTTTTTCACTTAATCGGCCAAACTTGAGGCCACACAAATTGAAAACAGAGCGAGAGGGGTACTGTTAATAAAGCCCTTAAAACATTTTCAATCGTTTCTCAAAAAGTCTCCAAATTTTTAGTTCAAATGGAGAAAAGTGCTGTTTATGTTGTGGTTAGAGCCTGGAAGTCCAGGCATTTGTTTTACTTAAAATAGAAAAGTGAAACGATGTTGATGGTTTCTAAAATACACAAGAAAGAAGCATTTATTCTTGCTATAAGTAGTTTCACATCAGCAATTAATATTTAAAAGAAATTATTGTAAAAAATTAACAATAATTCGAATGTTTTGTTTTATTCTAAGTCTTAATCTTTGCATCAGCGCCTACATCGAAGTAAAGTATCTTTTCATTTTAATCTGATTGCTCATGACTCGGAGATTTTTTATTTTATTTTTTGTCTCGCATTATGGCGAAGAATTTTTCATTGTGACACTGGATTTCAATATGATGATTATGAATTTATTTTATTCCATAATGTCTCTATGATATGCTATTGTGGATGCCCTTTTGAATCCTGGAATGGAAATCAGTGAAAACACTGTTGTAGTTTTTGTTCTTCAAATTTGTGTTCATCATAAACTGAAAGCTCTACCCTTAAAAAGGTTGAGGCAACACGCAAAGCTAGGATGCAATGAACAAAGTCAGTCAATATCAAAGAAAGAAATTCAAAAACCTTGTCTGGTATAATCTCACTTTCTCTTACTAATTTTTTAACACTTAATGGTTCTGGAGTAAAATGTCTCGTATTGTGTCTAAACTTGCGAAAAAAGGCATTGCAGCAAGTGCCTTTGTGTTGGCTGGGTTTCCAGGTATGTTTCTAACTTAATGTTTCTAACTTAATATCAATGCCAGCAGAAGAAAATAACAACAAAATAATTATGTAAAAGGAAGAAAAGGCAAATTCCTAATACTAGGTACCAAAGCTAAAATAGGAGAAAGAAAAGGTAAAATTAAAATCTCAAATAACTCCAGACGGTAGGCAGTTAGAATTTTTTTTATTGACTAATGTCTTAAAAACAAAACTATAATAATAAAAAAGTTATTTCGCCAAATTTCTGGGCTCTAATTACAGTGTAACTCCAATTTACATTACAACTCCTGAAATTGTGAAGAAGAAAAAAGTTTTAACTTGGGCACCTTGAATATTAGATATGAAAGTAGTTGTGTTGCGTCTTCAGTCTTGAAGTTAGAATGTGGTAATTTTTCATAAATACATAAACAATATTTTCTCAACCTGATAATATATTCCTCTTAGACTGAACAAGAAATTTAACTGAAATAAAAATTGTTGAAGCTATCAGGCTAGTTAGCTTTTTTGTAAATAATTAAATTAAAAAAAACTATCGTAGAAGAAATAATGAAGAGAAGTTGCCTACGAAATTGAACACACACCTGTAATTTTGTTATGTTGTGTAAATCGCATTTAGTAATTCAATTAAGCAATTTTGCCAGCCATGTATAATCATAATACATAAAAAGCATTCTGAATCAAAATGTTTTAAATATGTGTTTTATCTTCATGGGAAATTCAACACAGCTTTATTAATTAAACCTCTAGGCTGAATTGTGTTAGAACGTTAGTTTATGTTAGAATATTTGTAAATCATGTGTTTTGTAGAATAATGGTCTATATAGTCTTTGTAGCTTGTAGCAATTTGTATTTCTAAGTACTTACCTAAAGTACTGCTGAATCAGTTCTTGTGAAACAAAAATAGGCTTTTGTGGGATGAAACAGCAATCTCTCATTATTTATCACAGTAGGTTGGTGTCTATTCTGATTTTCAAGAACTTTACTACTACAGAAAATCAATTTTCAAAAAAAAAAAAAAAAAAAAAAAAAAAAAAAAAAAAAAAAAAAAAAAAAAAAAAAAAAACACCACACCTGCTCAATTTTGAAGATTACAGGATACCTGTGGATAAAATATTATCCTAGTTTCTTGTATTACTCTCAATCAAACCAGCTGCATTTCACCATCTTCATTTTTTATTTATCATTGAAGGGCATCATTTCTTTCTGACTAATAGTACATTGAATTGACGACATTCTATAGCAATAAAATGGGCTTAATACTTAATGGTGTCTTATTATTCTTGATTTCTACTTAAATCTAATAGTATGTACTGAATATATCTAACAAAACATATTCATGAAATATTGTTACCATTCGGGATTAAGGTTGTCCATGTGTGAGCAAAGTTCATGAGAGAAAGTAACATGTAGTGTTTCTATATGACCTGTTCTAATTTGACAATTAATTATATATAAATTCCTAGAATCTACAGGGAACATTTTTATTAAGTAGGTGTTTATGAATAAAATTATTGGGTAGGAAAAGTTCAATAGATTTTGGATTTTTTTATTAATTTAGATTTGGAAAAATTGATGCCAATAGGTCTTAAGAATAAAATTATTCTGAAAAAATTTCTTTTAATTTGTCCTTTCCTCCAAAATTTTGAAATACATTAAAATTAAAGGGGTTCATAAATATCACAAAACTTGGGAGGGGGAGAGGATTTTATGTGTGCATATGAAAGAGACTCTTTGGTGTCAGATTACTTTGATAAATGTATCAAGGGCTCAATTTTCCTTATGCGAAGAGTCTTAGTCAAAAGTTGGAGATTGTGTGCTGCTTCAAGAAATTGAATGAAAGGAGATAGTGGAAATATTGTTGGTGTTTGATTTTCAATATAATAATTACAACTTTATATGAAAGTGGCTCCACACATATGACATTCACCAAGTGGCAAATGACTGCTTTCCTAATTCCAATCAGCTGATGTCGTCTTTCTTCACTTCCTTTGGTGTGTGCGAAACACTGACATGTGAGGGTAAGGCGAGTACCAAAGGTTTGTTGCTCAGCAAATGGCAAGTAATCCATCCACACTACTCTGGGTTTGGCAAACAATCGTTTGATACTCGCTGAATTCCAAATGTGAGGAACAGTCTTGACAATTACATACCTGAAGACAATTTTCAGGGTGTCAGTTTTTTTCTTAATAGTAGTATTGACATTTTCTCATTACCTATACATATAGAAGGATATGCTGATGTAACTGCTGCTTCTTTAAGAATCCCCGAAATTTACTTGAATTTTCTCAAAAATACAATATAGTATTGGGTGCCTAACGCCTGTCTGAGTGAAATCTAGTTTTCATTTGTTTGGTGCAATGAAAGGAGAAATATAAACCAATTTACTGTATTAAATATTATTCCTGATGAGGAATAATGTCATTTGGCTGTAGTCTTACCGGATTAGTAAGTAAACTTAAGACACGTAAGAGACTTAAGATACTATTTACTCCTAAGATTGCTGTTGTTAGTAAACACATTTTTTTGGAAATGATGGCAAAATTCCCTTAAGCATTTTAAATAGAAGATATTTCCATAGTCACCATTTTCCTCTCACAAGATACAATAACTTTGTCGTGGAGGGTAAATTGATTTTTTAAATTATATTGCCTCCAATCAAAATATCTAAAAAGTTATTTTTTGAGAAATTGTCACATTAGTTTTCATTTTGTTTACACCTTTTTCTTTTTTGATGAATACTATTATTGCCTGGAATTGTTTTTAAATTTCCTTCCATTGCCCATCCCAATTATTTAAGTGTCCATTTTGGGTCTTTTTGACTTATTTTAATGATTGAAGAAAGAAAAGAGAACAAATTCATATATGTTTATTATTACAAGTTGTTGTACACCTTGTTAATAAGAGAATGAATTCACTTTCCAGGGAGAAAGTGTGCTGTGGAACAATATTTAAGGGTCCTTATGGTGTAGTCATTGTTGACCCTCGATTTTTGAAGCCATGCCAAGGCTGTCGGTCACCTCATGTGCAACAATGCAATGCTCCTGCTGCTCCAAGGACACCCACCACTGGGGCAGATGCTGGCATGCATCACCCTGCTTCAGGTCCGGAGGCTGGTGCAGCTGCCAGTGCTAGTAATGGCGGTAACAAAGGTAGTGGCAGCGGAAGCAGCAGTGGTAACAATGGTAGCAGTACCAGCATCAACGGCAACAGCAGCAATAACAGTAGTAGTAGTAATGGTGGTGGTAGTAGTAGTAGCAGTAATGGCAACAGCACCAGCACTAGCAACGGCAGCAACAAACTTGCGAAGACATTCAGCGATTCTTCGTCAGATTCAGGTTACGATGAGTCATCCAACCAAGGCCTTGGGGAGGGTGGGCACAATGTGCGACGTAGTGGAGGTGCTGTGGGACTGACTGCTCACAGTCGAGAAGATGCAGCTACTGCCAATTCGTTGGCAGAGTTTGCCATGCATGCCGCTAAACGGTGTCCTCAGGAAGTTAACACACAAGCAAATTAACGAAAGTTTCGTTCATAGAATTTTCCTTAATTTATTCATTATTTCTAATGAAGATCTTGCATTCTTTGCAAGACAGAAAAGGAGAAACTATTGTTCCAGATGCCAATCAGCATTGGGTCCAACAACAAAATTGTGCAACACAAGCCCAAACTTACTTTTTGATCCTTCCATTTTCACCTTGTAGGCATTTATTTCCATGACGACTCGTCATTCCTTGTCCATCTTCCTAAATTTTTATAAATGTACTCCAGTCACATCTGGGAAGCAATAATTTATTCTCCCACTTCCTGTACTTTAACAGCATATCAGAAAGAATAAATTGTACTCTGTTGCAGAGAGGAAGCGTGATTACAAATACATGTGTCTTCAACGTGTTACTGCCATCAGCCACTGTGTTCAAACAGAATATTTGTGTTGGCACATGTGGGAGGTTTTTGACAAAAAATTAAAAATCTATAAAAATATTATACATTAAGTTCCTAATTGGATGGACATACTTGAGAGCGAATTGAATCTTAACAGATTTCTGATGCAGTGCTCATTTTCTCATTCCACAAAAAGTCACTTGCATCAGACTGTTATTTTGTCTTTTTAAATTAAAAATTTAGACTTCTAAATTAATACAAAATCCTATAGTCATGATCAAATAGAATTTTGTATAACATGTGTTGTATTATCGATGATAGGGCATCTACCATGTAAATATAATACAAATGACTTTATTACAATTGTTAATATTTGCATGATAGTTTGCTGTTGTTACTTGACAACAAGTCATTATAGTGACTTGGATATGGCAGCAAAGTTTTCCTCTCTCTGATAAGAGAGTTAATACTCATATGGATTTTTTAAGAGAAAAAGATCTAGTCTTGAGGGAAAGCTTACCATTATTAGCAAAAATCCTTTTCATTACTGCTTAGATAAAAATTGTTGTGGTGTCCCTTGCCTGAGACTGACGTTTCTATGTATTCATATTCGAAGTACCAATGTGAATCTCGTGAAAGTAGACAGAAACTTTTTGTGTTGTGAAAGTATTATTGGTGTAAGTCCTGACATTTGAAGTGACAAGTGACTGTTTCTGACTGCACTTTTGCCAGATGTGTAATATTCTTTTAAATACAAGATGTTCTGTTGCATTATCCTAAGTTGAAGACTTAAAGAGACTGATAAATGAATTTGTGCATATTAATGTATCAATTATCAATCAGAAATATGTATATATGGATTGTGAACCAGTTATTTATTAATGAAAAAGAGCTTGAAGAAATGATGAACCTTCACTTTCATTAACTGGTATTGTTGACAAATATTTGTTTTCTATTTGTAACTTATATTGCAATTTTCTTTCTATAAAGAATACGTCAAGAGTTGTTATTTTCTTTAAGTTGTGGATGAGATCCTGTAGTTTCTCTGTGTTAGTGCAATATTTTATGGGAGATAGTCCAATGTCACAGGTTAGTTTTTCATTTATTCTTGCAAAGTTTTTGGAAATGATACCATTTTGTGAAAGTCGTGTGGTTAAATTGATTTGACCTTTTTTTCAAAGATTGTGAAATAAATAGCTGAGTGAAAGGAGGACAGTTGCACAGCTATTTCTACTGCCATAACGTTTCAGCAAAATGTTTCTCCATGAATTTCTTCTGATCGTAAATTGTATGATGTGATCTCATAGCATGTAGAATAGCATGCGACAGGATTGCTATGTGGCCCTATAGGGTGAAGAGAGCAGAATGTTGCAATGATTACTTGTATGGCAATGAACTAGTATTATCATTTAAGAGTTTGGATAATGATACTCCAGACTGTCTTGAGTATTAACAAAAGCAATGAAAAGCTTTGTCAATTTTGAATCTTCTTTTTCCTTACAATTTATGTATAAATGGTACTGAATGTTTATTTCATTTGTTTGCATTTCAAATTAAATTTCTATTGTTGTGTGTTGATCAAATTTGGATGTAAATTTTTTTATTGAAAATAATGGAATTGTTATAAGGAATGTACAATTCTGAATTGTTTTGGTGCAAATGTACATAAATATTGTACATATTGTCTGGAATGATAATGTTCATTCCAAATGACTGAGTTATTTGTTCAAAGTAAATAATTTGATTTTCACACATTTTTAAAACAACTAGTTGTCTATAATCCTTAGAATAGTTTTAGAACAATATTGTTGGAATTTTCCATGTCTTCATTTATGTCTTATACATTTAGTTAGCTGGGTTTCAAAATCATACTGCAAAATAGTGGTATGCAATTTGGAACACACAATGATTCTCATGCTTTCACCATATTGTGAAACCACTTTTTGTTTTTGCTACTTAATGTAATGTGAGTAAGTGTGCATTGAATCTCTGTTGCTTATTGCCCTTGTAGAGGTAGTGAAATTCTGAATGTTGTGGATCTTGCATATTGAAATTGCTTTTTCCAAACTGAAAGCAAGTAACAAAATTCATTTTCTTTTCTTTTTTTTCCAAGTTGTTTCAAGAAATAGATTTTTTAAATAATTCAAGATTCTTTGTGTGTTTGTCTCCACTTGTTAACTTGCTAGGGGGGGGGGATAGTTTCGTAAATAATTACACAGAATATTTTTTACCTCAATAGACTTGGCCTAGTTTCGGTATTGTTAACAAGTTAATGTTTTCTATTTGTGGCAGGATGCAGATCGCGTGAAATGAATGATTAAATTATGATAGTAATATAAATATATGTGCACACTGATCTCAGGTTAGCAAGACAAATTTGAGCTGTTGGTGTGTGAAGCAACGGAAAGTGGTAATGAAAGGCAAAGTATGGTGAAGGATTCACAATGTTTGCCAACTTGTGCATTTAATATATTTCTATGGCTAATTCTTGTAATAAATGAATTTTAAGAAATCTGAAGTATAAGATATAATGAATTTTCTTAGATTGAATGTTGTCTATTGGAATTTAAAGATTTGATGAATGGCATTAATAGAATTTTTATAAATTGCCTACTTCACATTTCTTACTCAGTGGAAAATTTTTGTGAATTTTTTTATTGTGGTTTTTTATTTTCTTGTTTACTTATTTGTACAGATGTCATGAAATTCCATAAAATGCATAATAAACAGTAAAATTATAACTAGATGTGATAGATTAATTTAGCTTTTTTTTTTTTATAAATCATAAATACCTGTGAAGTTCAACTGAAAATTCCTAGCCAGCGTGGTATGAGTTGACTCACTTCTCACATATGAAAAAATGTTAAAACCTCAGTGTGTGTACGTGTGTGTTTTTATAGAAACAGTGATGTAGCACACAGCATATTATTGAAGTCTTGGTGCAACATATCATTTAAGCAAAATTTCTAGATAATAACTCCCAAGATAAAATTTAAATGTCAAGAGGATCCATGGGTGCTTTAGGAGTTGAATGTTCACTTGAACCATGAGTTTGCTTTCTTACAAGATTCTGTAGTCATTGGATTATGTTCATTCAAAGTAATCAAGTTCTAAGACATGATTTATTGTGAGAGAACTTGCAGCTACTGTAAGACATTGAAATTTGAATTTTTCTTTGCATTGGTATGCAATATAGTGCCTGACAGAACCTGCTGCAACAATGTCGTTCAGTGGATTGTTCAACATATTTTCCATATCCCTGTGATCTGTGGAATGCCTCTGTAACATTCTTGCCAAACTTCACTTAAATGATATGTAGTGGTGTTCTTTTGAATCATGAAATTCGCACATTTTTATTGATCTTTGAATAAGCTGTACTCATATGTACTTACTATTCTTTTAAAAACTGTTCTTTGTTTAATGTGTGCAGTGTTCAATGAAAATCACACAAAGTTTATTTAAAACTTACATTGCATGTTTTCAGAATAATAAGTTTTGTTATGTCACAATAATTGTTTCAAGTCATTTCAGTGTCTCGACCGTATATGAAGCAAATGCACTTATTAAAGTGACAATAATGAAGTTTAACCAGTACTTGAGTCCAGAATACAAGGCACTAAAACATGATAGCATATCTGCTGTGCATTAAATGTTGGAATATTTATATTGTAATGAAAATGCTATTTGCTCAAGTATGATGAGTATGTGGCTCATATTTACATGTTCTGTAATGTTGCATTGTTTGTATTTATTATAAACAATATTTTGATGCAAGTGCGTAATGAGTAACCTGCAATTATGTGTTATTGAATAATGCAAACATTTTTGTAGTTGAATAGTATTGCCACTTGGTGCTGCGACAATCGCCAAATGCAGACCAATTCTGCATGGTTTATAGAATGTGTATGAATATGTGAGAAGTGAAAATTGTTACTTATTTAATCCCTGAATGTGAAATAAAAACAGAATAATAATGATATTGCTTCTCATAGAATCAGCCCCCAAAGATCCATGACAGCCGTTACAGTGTCAAGCTTGTACTTCCAAAAAACATCTCACCAGAAAGTTACTTATTTCAGATTTGTGACTGATAATCTAGCACCAAAGATGTTCAGATGTCATGTTTAAGACAGAATGCCATACAAAAATCTGGTCCAAAGCAATATTATTTGACAAGGAATCCACATTCCATTTATTTTTACCTCAAATTTCTAATTTGAGTGAAAGCTAGTGTAATGACATTTTTTAATTTTACAATTGGGAGTCATAGTACATATTTTGAAGCCAGATAATCATGATAGTCCACATGACTGCCTGGTAATTTAGAATTAAGAGACACCTATTATTGCCAATGTATTTTAAATACAAAATTGCCAGAAATGGACACTTTACGTAATGTTACAAAGTAACAGATCACATGTTCTCTGTGCAGAATCTAAGATGAATGTAAGATTTTTTTTTATTTGCTTGTTTATTTTATATTGTATGCAAGATGATTTGACACAATTTTCATGAACAAAATTAATTTGTAAAATATATAATGTTTGAAATTAATCATTTTATATAATATATCCAAGTTTCAGATTAAAACTGTTGCAAGAAGTTTGCGATTGTAAAATAATTGTTTTAAAATTGTTGAGGTTTCTTGTTACAGAAAATTCAGAAAAAGGTAATAAATTTCTTCCAAATGAGATACACTGCCTAAATTGTGCACATAACATGCGTCGTATTTGGTAAATATCTACAAGAAAAGTACAAGAAAGAAGTCAATATGTAGGCATTTTAAATGTAATAATAGACTAATAAGTGTGTATCAAATTGTAGAAAGATTAAAGAAGTAACAAATTGCTGTGTCTGGTGATATTAAATTTCATGCTGTCATTATGATATTAAGAGAAATTGTTTATATTAAAATGTGTATTACTTACTTCAGTTTCGCATGTGAATTTCCAAGACGTACATACAGATTTCAATGTTCAATTACCAAAAATCCAGTATTACTTCAAATTACTCTACAATTTTTATTAGGAAGCAGAATTTGAAAAATAGTATTACAATACTTAATAGGTTTTCATTGTTATCCTGTCTACAGAGTCTGGGAGCTTACCAATTGTATAAAGAAAGTTGCTGGGCACTGCTGAAGTTAAATCCTTGTCATCTGGTTGAAAAAGCATTTATTTATTTTATTTATTTTGTTACTTAATTTTTAATGTTTATTTAAGCTGCCATAGATGTTCAACATTTATTTAAATTTGCATATTGAAACAACCATGAAAGTGATCACTGTAGTAAATAAGTGTTTAGTAACCCTAGTCCAGTCTGCAATGATAAAGTAGTCTTCTATGTTATGTTTGCTGGAATTTTGTCATAATATAAATGCCGTGTTTTTCTTACTGATTTGCTGAAGTTGCATAATCAATAAGAAATTGAGAATGAACAATGAATTTAGGAATTTTTTCAGTTGTGTACTGTAAATGTTTATGATTTTTTGTGCGTGGTAGAGCTACTACCTCATGCTCCCTTCCATGTGTGTATATGTGCATTTAGAATATAAGCTTCATTACAATATTGTTAGTTTTACTATGTATTTGCTGAAATTGTGTTGTGATTTTAGTTTTGTTGCTTGTATAATTTCTTTATTAACCCTTGTAGAATGTAATGTTACATATATACATTATAATAGATGATTATTGGAATAATTTTCTTTGTTGTTTCATTACAATTTTGTGTGTTGATTTTTCATCCATAGTTATTTTTGTTTTTATGCTGTTTTCTTTGTAATGAATCTTAATGGGAGATAAAAATGCTTCAGAAGAAACATTTCCAGGCTAGACCCTTTACCTTAGTTATTGTTTTATGGAAAGGCCAAAATAATTTTTCAACATTTTATTTACCAAAACACTTGTATGTTCAATCTGATTCTGGAATTTAAAACTGGAGTATTTTTAATTTCAGTTTGTATGAAATCTCTTAGTTCTCTTCTTGACTTTTAAAAAATTATAAATTTCTGTTGAAATTTTAAAATATACATTTTTGCAGTCTGCCTCTCCCATACATACTCTCTGGCCTCTCCTGTACAGGTTGCCCGGTTCCTGTGGTCACAGAATCCAAGCTTTAGTTGGTAGTTTAAGTGTTCCTGAAAAGTTGATGAATAGTTCTCAGTTGAGTTTAATCTCTGACGTAACTACTCAATGAGCTTTCTCCTTTAGTGGCTGATTAAAATATGTAATGACAAGACGAAATGTTTAACGTGTGGTGTGTGTGTGTGTTTTTGGGGGGGGGGATTCAGACTCTTCCCCCCCAAAAAATGTCAAATTTGTCTCACTTATCTTTTATTAATAACCTAACTGAAAGCAAAGAGTAATGTGGGTTTTGATCTTTCCCATTTAGCTCTCAAAATACTTGATCGTTGATTGAATTAATTCGGAATGGCTTCAGTGTCCTACTTATTATTGCTTCTAATTTAAAAATTATTTTAAGCTGAAGAAATATAATGTATATGTATATAAAATTAAATTTTTTTATCAAGTGGTTACTCTAAAGCGTCACTGGTGATTAGTACTATATATGCCTCTCCTCCAAATAAATTGCTTGATAATGGATTCTGAAAATAGACCAAGTCATTGGCCCAGCAATTGATGAAAATCTCGTGAAAGAATTCAAAATTAATTCTGACATAAAAGCATTTGCTCGAGTACTCTCAGTAAAACTTAGTTCATTGTATAGAAATATTCTTAAGAGTAGTTGTTTTTCTTTTTAATCTAATTTGGTAGTTGTTTTTTCTTTCTTTCTTTCCACTACTGAGTTTTTTAGTTGAAAAACCTGTTTAAAATTGAGTTTGTTTTGTTACATATCCGATGCTGAAAAGATAATTATGATATCCTACAAACCCAACAGTCATGCTGTAGAATGAAGTATAATTAATAATTGTGTTTAAAGAGTGCATTTTGTTAAGGAGATGCCCCCTACGAAACTGACCCAAGAACAGTACTGAATGACGTTCGATGACATTTTGGGTGGGAAAGTAACATAGGAGTTGCCAGAGAGTATTGCAAGTGTAAGTTTCGGTGAATTCGAGCCGTAGTATTTCTTCGACGGAGAACCAACATTTACATTACAGAAAGTAGACTTCTGCAATTGTATTTTGGACAGACACTGGTTGACATTGCTCATCAAGATAACTTGCTGCTAGTACAAATGCTTGCATCGCACCTCAACCGTGCCTGAAAAACATTCTTCCACACGTCAATTTGCAATGACCTGAACAAGTTGGGTGTGGTACAAGCCATATTTTTGATTCGAATACTTCCCTGTTTGGAAACAAAGGACAATCGTTAGGATTTGACTTCTGTCATTCAGCTTGGCATCTTCGTTGTGTGGTTAAGTACTAGTTGTTTTTACTTCTTCCTGAAGTTGAGAAGTCTAGAAGCTGCTCAAAGCCATTGAGACATGTGAGTATATATCGAAAATTGCAATTCAATTTTACTAGTATGTCGTATTTGATCATGTACTGCGCTGTGTATTTTATGTTGGACCATACCTTTTTTCTGTTGCTATGGTTTGTCTTACAATCGCCTTACGATTGCAAAACATTTGGTACATCGCAGAGGCACATGAGCTGGTCAGTAGGGTACTACTTTACAATTGCATGCCTGAAACATCCTGAATTATACATTTGAAAATATGGAGTATATAAAAACTGGTTCAATTAATACGGTAACCGACAAACTTGCAAAGCGATAAGTTATTTAGGACAGCTGCCTTTGAGAACAAGATGCGACAATTATTGAAGTAATGATGCCTGTTACGACTTGCGGCTTTCAAAGATTAGCATTCATTTTTAGGTCATACGTAAAATTAAGGAAAACTATCTGACAATTTTTTGTGTTTGAATTTTCATCCCTAGTAAACAAGTAGAGCTATTATTTTACACAAAAAATAATGCTAGGTTTTGTGGTAGATCTTGGGAAAAAAAGAAAAGTAAGAAAATAAGAGAAGGCAACTCTAAATTCTGAAATTAGTATATAGTCACAGCTCAGCGAACTTGGAATTGTTAAGAACCTGGGATTTGAAAAGGCTTGAAAAAAACTGAATTTTTCGATATTTTTCAGATTTCATCGGCTAATTTAAGCGCATTTACTTACGGCATCGTATACAGTAAAGTGCGTGATTCAACTCAGTACGTGATAAAGGGGAGTGTTAAAATCGAAGAATGTACTAAAAATGCCATAGGTATGTTTTAGGATTGCGAAGGCGGGTCACAGAACGTCAAAAACTGCGGAGTGTGTTGGTAACATATGTGCTTGTATGGTTGTTTATAGCAGTGGCGGATCCAGGCAAACATTTTGGGAGGGGAAATTTAAAAAATGTTTTGGTAGAATGTTTCATATTACAGACATTGTAAAATGTCACAGGATACACTCAGATCCTGCTGCAATACGATTTTATTCGTTTAAATGATTATCCGAAAATATTTTTGCTTGAAAGTTTCATGACAAGTTAAAATTAATAGTTTCCGGACATTTTAGGGGGGATTTCCCACCCTCTGGATCCGTGCTCGTCTGTGTGTAGAACGTGCAAGAACGAAATACGGGTCGCGGAACGTCCCTCCTGGAATTCAGTTCCCGAGTTTCGGTTTGAGTTGCGCCTCTTCTGGTTTAACCTTCCTCCGACCCAAGAATGAGTGACAAGAGCCCGAATTGACGGAAAATGAACATGCTTAGCAACATGACATGAACTCATAACCATACTCAAATAATATTCATCTGGATATTTTTACCAGAAAACTACGGAAAGCGATATTTCTTCACATTTACGAACATGGCTTCTTTGATGGTGAAACTTTTAGTGCATTGGACCGTTTTATCCAAATTCGCGGATTAAAATCACCTGTACTGTGAAATCATATGTACACAAAAAAGATTTGCCGTCCTTGATTAATCAAAAATGCGTGGACACGGAATATTATAAAGATGCTCCCAAGATGGCGCGTAGAGGAGGACTCCCCTTGCGTGCTTGTACTCATGTCTAACTAATAAGAGCAGCGTAAACACATTCTTCCCAATTCTCTTACCGTTGACATCTTCTTCGTGGTTCATCTTGTTCCCTGAGTTTGTAACAATATTATCAACTTTATGAATAACTGCAACATAACGTCGCCTTTTTTACTCTACCGCCTGCACCAGAACTTCAATAAGGCAACATAACATCAATAAATCAAGAAAATAAAATAGTCGTGGCTTATACTAGACCGCTCCTACAAGATCGCGGGAGTAAACTCTTCCGTTGATGTCCCCTTCCCCCAATATTACGTGGCAGAGCAACGCCACCTTGTGCCGTAGGTCGCGTTGGGTAGAGACGCCCATTCCATATATTGAGGCAGTAGTGATTAGTGACCCTTTCATAGTTTGAATGGTTTCCAGGAGAGTAAACGTCTAATGGTCATTAATCCCATAAGCGTAGTGCGTGTTTGTATCTCGAGATGTGCCAGTGATCTCCCGCTGTATGGCAAGATCAAGTTAGAGGTCGACTTGCGGGGTTTTTCTTCAACTAGGTTTCTCCCACCAGCGGGGTACCGACCCAGCAGAAACATGCTCGAAGCTCCCGACATGGAGTGTAAGTGTGTATGTAAGAAAGGGGTCAGAATGCATGTCAGTAAGGGGGAAGTATGACAAGGAAGAGGAAGGAAAGGTCGCGTGCGGTCCGTGTCCTGTTTGTTAGGGTACTGCTCCGGCATTTGCCTGATGTTGATTGGGGAAACTGCAGATCCGGCCGCTAGGGTTCGCCTCCTTTTGATAGGTAATTCTGGAAATACATCGAGGTGAGCTGGGTCCCAATCATCCCTACACACACTTGCATGGGGCAGTAGTGTTTTAATCCGATAGGCACCGACAACTAGGCCGTAATGAAATGGCGCTACGGCCTGTTGACACCTTTCACAGTTCCATGAATGCAGAATATGGAAAAGAAGGTCTTTGAGTACTTGATCACATTACAAAAACATCAGAGGGAGAATTGCTGTTGCCGTTCTTCATGCGGTCACACATGCCATCCTCCCGTGCCATGGGGGAATGCTGACTTTGTCACCGCGGTGGATAATCGTATCAGTTATAAAAGATCACGAGCCAGAGCTAGATTGACCTTATGGGAAAGTAAGGCCGCGTCCTGTAGAGCTTACATTTCATCACTCCCTTGCCGTACGCCCCCTAACGTAGTGTGGCGAATGGTTCGACAGATCGGTGGAAGACTTCCTCCGCCATCTGGTCTCAGGACTTCTGGTAAATTGAAATCTTCTCGCCTCACCAGAAGATGTAGTTGAAGAACTGACCTCTTACTACGAGCACTACTCTTCTAGCTTTCTGAAGACCAAAAGAACAATGGAGAACTGCAGACTAGATTTCTCGAGTTGCGTGGAGGAAGAGTACAATAGTCCATTCTCCCTGGATGAATTTTTCTGTGCCCTCGCTTGGGCAAAATATTATTCTCCAGAACCAGACCAGATACATAATCAAATGCTTAAACACCTACCAGGAAATGCTCATCCTTTTCCCCTCCGCATTTTCAACCTTATTTAGGATGAACCTTCCTTACCAAGGATTTGGCGTGAAGCCATTGTTATTCCAATCCCTAAAGAAGGAAAGGACTGAACAATCCCTTCAAGTTACCGCCAAATCTCGCTCACAAGCTGACACGCCTTCGGATCGGTCACTGCCATTTCTCCCAAGAACATCTTCTCCGCGCTAACCCACCCACTACTTGCGATAGTTGCGAGACGCATCTTACCGTGGAGTAAGTTCTCCTGCATTGTTCCAAGGTAAGAGATAGACGTCGAAGGCTTCCCCTTGCTAGCTCTCTAACACAGGTACTTGGAAATGACGAATCTTCTTTCTGCAAGCTTTTTAGCTTCTTACGAGAGTCTGACATTTACAGCATTATTTGAGAGAAGGGGATTTTGCCAATTATTTGGCTTTTAATTGGAGATTTTAAAGTGTTTATCTCGCTATCTTGCATTAAAAAATGTTTTTGTAGGCACTTAAATTAATGTTAAAATAATTTGACACGGGCGCCAATGACCTTAGCTGTTGAAGCGCCCTTAAACCTTAACATTATCAACAAAATTGTAAGAGAGACGTTTGGCCTACTTCATTAATGGTGCAGTGTTAAATACGCTCAAAATATGAGTATTTTTTCGTGAAAGAAATGCAATTTTAAAAACACGATTTTCTCATAAACTACTGCAATTTTTTTCTAAAATACTTTTAAATGGATAGATTTAAATACATTTCATGTTGTGACAAAAATGCTATTTTGATGGATCCTTTTAATTATTTAAAAATACTCAAATAACCGTTCTTGTAGTATTGTAATATTATGTAACTGTTACAAATAATGCAAAAAAGTACACAATAATAATAATAATAATAATAATAATAATAATAATAATAATAATAATAATGTGATGAGACTCTGGCCATCAGGCCCGCTCTTCCTCCTAACCACGTAATACATAATTTTATAGATAAAAGTTGAAACACAATACATTTAGTAAATAAAATAAAATAAAATACAACTTAGAGATGTCTTTGCCCCTGGGCTCACAAAAGCGAAAGAAAACAACGTCCCATCATTTACTTTAAGCAGCCGGGTAAAGCCAGGGAAAACAAAGGAAGTGTGTATGCTCTTCAACATTGAACAAAAAAAAAATATTTTTTAAACAAACATTACTGTCATAGAAAAACTAAAGGTATGCTCGAAAATAAATTATGAAAGATATTAATTTAGCAAAACGCGTCAAATGTTAACAAAAAATCTTAAATACATTAAAGAATCATAAAAAACAAGATAAGAATGCACACAACCACCCGGCCAGAACGACGCCTTAGGGCCGATTTTAATTTACAACGTCATGCTGTAAGGGTGATAGACGCCTTAAGTCAGAGCCGTGACAAGTTAAATAGTAATGAATTAGACGTTACTATTAGATAACACAAAAACTTTTCTAATTCTATAATGTTCTTAATTTTAACTAATTATACTATTATTAATTAAATGAAGAACTAACTTAAGAAATCCAAGAAAAAATCTGTTAAAAATGCGATATAAAATATGACAATTTTGAACAAATTAGTACCACTTTTGCATCATACAAAATTATTTCAGAAGAGAATATTTAATTTTTTTAATGATCGCAAGGTTTTACATTTCCTAATATTTACTGGGAGGCTATTCCACTCTCTGGTGGAGTCGTTGGTACTAAGATTTATTGTAAAAAATTGTGTTGCTATTAGGAACATTCCATATAGATTTCTGGAATCTTCTTGTTTTGTCTTCTTTTTGAGATAAGAAATTTTATGAGAGTTAAGTCTGTACACCCGTATTTAATATTTTGTGGAAAAGGCATAATCTACGAAACATGCGTAGACCTTTAAGTTTAATGTATGACTTGCTTTGTAATATCCTGATGTCTAATCTTACTTTCTGATATTATATATTGAACTCTTTGAACAGCATCAGCGGTTGATTTTATTACATTACTGTGCACAATCACGGTAGTCGAGCAGAGGGAGAAGAGGTATTTTACTAGTTATTCTTTGGTTTTGGGTGGAAGGCATTTATAAGCACGTTTTAGTGAGTACACTGAGGCATACACTTTGTGTCAAGAGTTCCGAGCAAGAGGTTCCCAATTTAGGAATTCATCGATGGTCAGAGAGAGATTTTAATGTTGAGAGTTGAGAGGAACAGTTGTTTTGTCCAGTATGATATGAGGAATATTTAGATTTTGAAGTGCTTTATGGGACCACCATGAGCCAATTATAATTGATTTATAATTTTAGCTTAAGGCCGTTTTTCACTGACCATTCAAGTTAAGAGGCCAAATCATGATTTGTTTTACTAACAAAATGAGTCACTTCAGAAGTTTTATTGCAGACCTAGATCTGTAAGCGTCTGCATATACATGATGACTGCAATTTATAGCACAGACGGGATATTATTTACATAGATCAGGATGAAACGCGAACTTGGTACTGAGCCCTGTGGTAATACACGTAAAACTGGTTTTAGTGACGAGGAAGTATTTTATTCAACTACAACCGTTTGTCTATTCCTAAAATAACTTGAAATCGACGATAAAAATCAGAAAAACATAGGCATATACATTATGCTAATAACGTCATGGTCTACTATATCGAAGGCCTTGCCAAAATCTAAAAGCGTTCGCGTTGTTATATTGCCTTCATCCAGAGATTGATGAATGTTTTCGGTGACTCCTACCACAGCCGTTTGCGTACTTCTACCATCCCTAAAACCACATTGAAAATTATTGAGAACATCATTTATGGCGAGATATTTGTCTATTCGTTGACGTAAAATTTTTACTTTCCCGTATACGTACGTTCGTATACGAAGTAATATATGTAGTATAGGGAAAGCTATGTAATACTGCGGGAAAATCGATTTCGACGGAAATACACCGTTTTGGAGTCCCCTGATACCGGGTGGAGTCCCCTGAAAAGTGTTTTTTTCAAAACGTCCGTCCGTGCTTCCGTCTGTCTGTCCGTCCGTCCATGCATCTGTCTGACCGTCCTTTCGTCTGTCTTCTTACAACTGCAAAATTGAAGACATTTTACTTTCAAATAAAATTTGTTCTCCATATAGAGTTCTTTCATTAAGGCCATGAATTTTGTTTGAACATTTTAGTAGTTTTCGCGCAATATTGCGTGCTTATGTGCAATTTAAAAATATACAAAAACAATACAAAAACAAGATTTTCTCGAAAACGGCTTCAATTTCTTTTTACCTTTTGGTAGGGATAGTGCTAAATGTATACTATGAGATGATTTAATGCCATATTGCTCTATTCTGTTTTTTTAAAAAATTTCAAATTGTAATTTTTGTACTTGTCTCTCGTGTAGTTAATATTTGTACTAGCGGCAATTTCTCCACATATTTGTATTTATGAGTACAAGTGCTTTAAATAATCAGATAATAGTCAGATAAAGTATGTCGCAAACTCAACCGTTTTCTGTGAAAATTAGCTCAAAACTCCACATTTTCAGAAATGCTCAAACGCCATTTTCTCGAAATAGGCTTCTAATTTTTCTTCAAACATTTCGATAGTGATAATAGCACTCTTTAATATATTCATTTCGTTTTTTTGTTGTTTTTTTAAATTACACAAATGTAAATATTTTGAAAGATCTCTCTCGCCATTGATATACACATATCCAGCAATTTGCAAACTCTATTGTATTTGTGAGTTTAAGAACTTAAAACTACATTTAATGAAGTTTTTCGAAAACTCAAAAAATGTCTGTAAAAAAGAGTTTTAAATGTCGAATTTACAGTAGCGCTTAAGCGCCTTTTTCTTAAAATCGACTCCAAATTGTTCAAAGAAAATTGCCATTTAGGACGAGGTTTTACTATTCTTTAATAATCTTAAAATAATATTTCCTCTCTACAATTAGGAACTCGAAAAAGTAGAAAATATCAAAAAATGTACTTTGGGTGACGATAGATGGCAGCTGGGAAGAGTATGTGGCAAAGCCGAATGACTAGTCGAGACCAAAGGAAATAGAAAACTAATACAGGAAAGTCTGTGCCATTCTGTACCACCACTAGTTAATTGTGGGATACCTGTACATGATGTTGTAGCACTACAATTTAAGTTTTGCTACGTGGTATGTCAGCATGTCAGATTGGTCGAATTTAGTTGCTGTCTGGAGGAGAATTCTAGTGACCATCTGTTCTCGGTAGTTTTCCGTAGTTTCTCCGATCAATACCGCGAATGACGGAGCAGTACCATAACAAACGGGCCACGGACCGCGTGCGATCTTACCTTCCTTTTCCTCTCTTATACTCACATTAACACGAACTATACTATTACACGTGTCGGGAGACCAGTCGAGAGCTTAGAGCTTGTCCCGACGAAGGCTCCCTGATGATGGGAGATACCTGATTGGGGAAAACCTCGTTAACCCACAGCAGTCGACGCGGATTTTGCCATCCAGTAATGGAAGATCACCGCCAACTCCCGAGGAAAACATACACTACCCTTACAGAACTAATACCTTAGCACTTGTCGCGTCCGGAATCACTATCAATAAATCAATCAATCCCTGTGTAACGTGTCAGTAGGGGTGTCTATCGATATCTTGAGAGCGTTAACTACAATTTCTTTAATTTTCGCCTTACGTATAAATACGTGTTGAGAAGTCATTTTAACCCTTTTTAAGCAAATTGCGCTTACGGAGTGTGTAATTAGGCATGGTAAAAGTTTATAAGGAGAGAGAGAAATCTAACATTTATATCTAATATGTGTTACAAGTACAAATACATCAAATATATAGTGCGAAAATGCAACCCCCCACACGTTGAAGCACTCTCTGTCGTACCTAACTGGAAAACGTATTTTAAAGCCGCAAAGCCAGATTTTTGTGTTCTAAGGGAACACAGGTTTCGTTCTTCTATCCCTTAATCTACAAAATGTGATTTATGTAGACGTTTATTCCTAACTTAGCATTTAAGAGAAAATATTCTACTCTATTTTTGCATTTGTGTACGTGAAAAGCGTATTGTACTGACGGTCTTTGCTCTGTTGGCAAAGTTGCTGTTGGCGGTTGAGGCCACGAGACCAGTTTCCGACGCGTTTCTCATCCATGTGGTAGAGAGATAATCCAAATGAGCCCTCTGTTGGTGCGTCACTGATATTAATTCAAAATATAAGATGCTAAAATAATACATAAATCAAGTATTTGTTAATGCTGATCCTGCTCAAAATATTTCATTTTTACTTTAAATTATCATAAGAATTGAGAATAGATTTAAAAATTATAGTATTTCAGTCAGTATCCTTATCCTGAAGTCATAACGTCTTACCTTAGGTCTAAGGTACGACCTTATACCTTTGTTAATAGTGCACGCCTCTGGAAGTCTCTACGGTCACCTTACAAGCGACGAAATGGACGCCTAAAAACAGAAAAAGTTGAATTTTTCAAACTGTGGCAAACCGATTCTCGTATGTGAGGCAGTTACAATTATTCCTTACCAACACCACAACGCTGGCAAGAATTAACGGGGTATGTTGGAGAGGTGACAGGAAAGAAATTCTCGAAAAAGGAGTTCAAATCATATCTTCGCGATGGGTTATGTCTTACGCTCATAACGAACGGTGATTTAAGGTATTTTCTATATTTTCAAGAAAAGCAGATTCAAAATTCCAGACTGCATACATATCACGGAGGGCCACAAAATATAAAACTCCATGCACAATGTATATTTGTTATTCTGTTGACTCGTAACGTTTTTTTTTATGTCTGACCACTAGCCTACACTCTTTGATATATTATGCAATTTCTCTGTTCAACGCTTGAAACGCTTGAAATGCACAACGCAGTGTTGCAATTGCTAAAACTCTTCTGAACGTTGTTCATTACGACTGTAGAAAGGCGTTAGTCACGCGATCAATAGAGTTTAAGGATATCTCGTTACGCCTGCCGCTAAAACGCCCTAATTTCGCACGTGTTCGCCTCTGGGGAGGAGGAGTATATATCGACTGCATTCTGCGGTCAACCTTTTCTAAGCCGGTTGCTTACCTCCTCAAAAAGGTGTAGTCCGACTGAATTCCGTTTCGTTTCCTCCTTAGTAAATTATAAGGGCCAATTTCTACTTTACTGTTCCGATGATAATGATCGATTGTAATTGAATCACTTCTGTTTTCAAGAAACATTTGCATGTTCTTTTACAACATTGCCAACGTTGAAAACCACTGCTTTAAAGTTTGTGGAAACAAGACTTGAAACCTTCTAGCATCTTCGTACCTCGCTGACTGAAAAACTCAATTCCGAATATTCTGCCATGTTCACTTGTGTTGGAGGTTTTCACTACATTGGTGCGAGAACATCTGTTTGAGCTACTTATGAAGGCAAACTAACAGAAATTTTAATTCTTCCGAAACACCGGATGAACGAAAGGGGTGAGCATTGGGGCTGTCTTCTCAAGTGACGGAATGTGAACGAGGATTAGCGGTGATGAGGGAAAACCAGCCGCTGAATACAGTCGGCCGATTCCCTTGCAAGATCCCCCCCCTTATAGCCAGGGTCAGTTATCCGTAGAACCTCTGAGGCCCCTGGCGGATTAAAATATGAGCCCTCTCCCTATACTTACTCATACACACATATGTACTTCACATTTAGTGATAAATTAATTTTGTCTGCATTACTACCAATAAATAAGGGATTTCAGTACCGAATCAACAAAAGGAGAGGTTGTACTTTGCTGCAATTTACCTTCGCTGCAATTTACCTTCGCTGCAATTTACCTTTGCTGCAATTTAAGAGACGAAAAATGAATATTAGTTCCATTGAAAGGCGAGAAAAAAATGTACAAGTAAGCTAATTTTCATTTCTTTGGCAAGAAAGGAGAAGGAAATATTGTTTTCTATAGTTATGAAAATCTAATAGTCGTACTGTGCGACGATCTTGCACGGGGTCAAAGAAACCACTGTATTGCAAAAACTATTTCATCTATAAATCTACAACTCCGCAGACGTTCCATTGAGTCGTGTCCGATTCGGCATATTACATCAAATACATATTACATCAAATACTGAGATAGTTTTGATACTGAGATATATATTACATCAAAGTCTGAGATGGTTTTGCGAACCACAAAGGTCAAAATTTGTTTCAAATGACCATTTTTATACCTCTAGCAAATTCATGTGTTCAAAATTTACACTATAACACAAAAATCATCGTTTCTTCCAACAGCATTACAATACTTTCGCTATATTGCGTAAGCTATACATGAGAAAATAAAACGGTACAAGATATCGAAAAGTGTTTGAGAACGTTTCTTAAACAACACATTATTGTATTTCATTTAAAACAAACAGCAAAAAGTTTTGACTGGTAGTTGAGGAGATAATTGTATCAAAACTATGCTATTTTCCGCTGTTATAATATAAGAAAATTATATGATCTTTAATAGCATTTCAAACCGACTATATCATTTTGTGGCACCATATACTTTTACTAACACTATTGCATCGTGTCATAATTAAAATTAAAAATAAAAACCCCCTGCTAAAGGTATCTTGCATACTCTTGCGCCACTACGACCTGATATACGCAGTAAAACATGTTTGGTAAAAAAAGCACTTAATATAATTCTTAAAAGCCGTACTTGCTGTTTTCAATATTTTGAAGCCTGCTTCGTAATCAAGGTTCCCGGCAGCCGCCGTATTCGCCCATATGTTAAATCGCCACTGTGTCTAGAAGCAGCATATTTGTGTTGATGGTGTTTATACACTGAAGACAATGGTACATGGAAACACCTGCGTAATATCGTGTAGGGTCCCCGCGAGCACGCAAAAGTGTAGCAACACGACGTGGCATGGACTAGACTAATGTCTGAAAAAGTGCTGGAGATAATTGACACCATGAATCCTGCAGGGCTGTCCATAAACGATGGGGTGGAGATCTCTTCTGAACAGCAAGTAGCAAAGCTTCCCAGATATGCTCAATAATGTTAATATCTGGGGATTTTAGTAACCAGTGGAAGGCTTTTAATTCAGAAGAGTTCCTGGAGCCACTCTGCAGCAACTCTGAACGTGTGGGCTGTTGTTGCATTGTTCTGCTGGAATCGCCCAAGTCTGTCGGGATGCACAATAGACATGAATGGAAGCAGGTGATCGTACATGATGCTTACGTACGTGTCACCTGTTAGAGTCGTATTTAGAAGTATCAGGGGTTCCATATCATTCTAACTGCACACGTCCCATACCATTATACAGCATCCACCAGCATCAACAGTCCCCTGTTGACATGTAGGGCCCTTAGATTTAGAAGTTGGGGCCATACTCGAACACGTCCTTCCACTCAAAACAATGTGAAACGAGACCTGTCAGACTGGGCAACGTATTTCTAGTCATAAACAATCCAATGTCGGTGTTGACAGGCCCAGGCTAGTCGTAAAGCTTTGTGTCGTGCAGTCATCAAGGGTATTAGACGGGGCCTTCGGCTCCGAAACCCCCTATCGATAATGTCTCGTTGAATGGTTCGCACGCTGACACTTGTTAATGGTCCATCATTGAAATCTGCAACAATTTACGGAAGCGTTGCACTTCAGTCACGTGTGATGATTCTCCGCAGTCGTCGTCGGTACCGTTTTTGCACAATAGTTTTGCGGCCGCAGCGATGCCGGAGGTTTGATGTTTTTATCGGGTTCCCGATATTCACGGTACACTCGTGAAATAATCGTATGGGAAAATCCAAATTTCATCGCGACTTCGGAGATGTTATGCACCATCTCTCTTGCGTCGATTTCAACATGACGTTCAAATTCACTTAAATCTTGATACCCTTCCATTGTAGAAGCAGTAATCAATCTAACAACTGTGCTAAACTCTGGTTGTCTTATATAGTTGTTGCCAACCGGAACACTGTATTCTGATTGGTTCCAGATTTCTTTATTTGCTTACGCATGGCTGTACCAGATTGTTTGGCTCTTCAGTATATAAATCATACAGAATCATCTTTCTTTAGATTATTTTCAAAGATAAAAACAGGCCAATAATAGCAACCAGCTTTTACGCAGATTTTCCTAAATAGTCGTAAACGTACTATAAACTCAAAAAAAAATCCTAACTTTACGAGTAGAATAAACCAGTGGTGCCACTACAGCAGAAACTTTCTCGCAATTTTTGTATCTTTGACATCTTTCAGAAATTCAGAGAGTTGAACAAAAATTAGAGCAATACCATTTTCTTAAACGTCCTTTGCTTGGAGGTGAAAAATTAATCCAAAAATGTGAGGCAATTTATGAGAACTTTTTTGAAAAAATATTGTTAAGGCTTCCTGTAAAGTATTCCCCAAAATCAAAATATCCTTTTCAAATTCGCAGAGCCTCCAGATCCGCCAGCCTCCAGGTCAGTCACGGTTTCGAGAAACTCGTCAGAATGGTCTGGGCGCAAGCGTTGACCACAGACGAACGGTCTGGCAGACACAGGAACTTTCGGTTGCGTAGGCTTCCGCGACCGGACTTTGAGTTATCTAGGGACGATCGGGGCGACCAGGACGAACCGCGTCACTGACATAGTGACAAACGTTTCGGTCAGTGTATTGTGGCCTTCTTCAGAGCGTACCGCCAGTACCCAGTACGCTCTGAAGAAGGCCACAATACGCTGGCCGAAACGTTAGCCACCATGTCAGTGACGCGGCTCGTCCCGGATAGCCTAGATAACAGAGACTTTCGCCGTAAACCAATTTTTCGGTATAAAAGGTCCCCAAAACGTGTACATTCTGTTTACACAGAGTGTTAGAAGAAGTAATTTTCTACACAATATGAGTTATTCTGGCGAAAAATCGCAATTTTCTACTGCAACATTAGATCACTTTCTCTTTACTACGTTAATTCGTAAGGTGGGAAAATATTAACATATTTTTATCTCCTTCATTTTACAATTTTGTTAATAATTAAACAATTTTTAATAGTTAAAAACAAATAATTAATTGAGATGGAGACACTTTTAATTTGTTTTCATACATTTTAAGATAAAATGATTAGTAACAATAATTCACACTGCTGTAAGTAAATTGAACAAATTAAAATCATCAAGAAATAAAAATATACTACAAAAAAGAGGAGAAACAGGTTTTTTTGAACAATGGTAATGTCGTATGTCAAGAAACATGTATGTGATTATGCCACAGGAGAATGAGAGTCACTGATGCAATTAATTTACTACTCGTTGCTTAGTCTCAGGCATTGGCGCAGAATAGTTTAGGATCGTCTATACCTGCCCCATGCAAAGGTTTCATGTACCTGTAGCTTTCCGTTGTGTCCTCGCCACCGCCACCCCCACCCCGCCCCGCGCGACCTCAGAATTCCTCCCCTCCGAAAGGCCTCCAACCGGTACGGTGCTCCCTGCCCCCGGCACCTGTGCAGTGCAGTTGTGCACGTGGGTGAGGGCATTGCTTTGGGCTCGGGGAGCCGTTTGGAATTTTGCAAATTCTACCGGTTGTTATCGCCCTTTGGAGGTAAGTGGTCGCTGGAACCTTGATATTATTTAATCGGTTGCTTGCAGTATTGATTGAAATCACTTAAAGAAAAATGTGTGGACGATAAAATTGCGAGCAAACAGGAGAAACGCTAGTAGCCGAGTTTGAACGAAACAAAAAATCCGTAGATTGATTACTAGTGATTTTGGGCGCGTCAACTGCCAAGGTCATTAGTCCCGTAAGTGTAGTGCATGCTTTTTCTCGGGAGGTGCGGCGATCTTGCCCCACTGGATGGTGAGATCCGGCGCCAACCTACCGTTGGTGAGCAAGATTTTCTTCAACCAGGTATCTCCCACCAGCGGAGCACCACCTCTGCCGGGACAAGTGGGGACAATTAATAAGCCTTCCAAGTTTCATATATGTAGGATACATACTTTTTGAGAAAACTACACTTAATTGTGAAAAAAATTACTTTTGAAGAAAAATTGTGTTAACGATAAGCTATGCATATCGCTCACCACATAGACTGACAACACATTTCTCGTACATAAACATTTACATTTAATAAATTATTGTAAAAACGTAGAAACTACACTAATATTAACAATCATGTAACTTTTATGTATACTATTAAAATGAAGAAACAGCACTTTGTTCTGTAAGACGAAATAACTTTTTTCCTGAGGTCGACGGCGTAGATCGTAACCATGAGTTACAATTGTTTCCGCGGAAACATCAATTGTATTTTCACTCATTTCCTTTGTTAAACCATTGCCATTAATCTTTTGTTTGCCAAATTTCTTT